GGCCAACCTAGAAAGATATATTGTAAAAAGAAGACAAAGAATTCATAATGAAATATTGGGAGGAAATTAGTTCTCAATTTGGCAAGACATCATGACTTCAATGCTACCAAATACTACGAGAAGCTCGGCCTGTCATTAAACATCGAGAAAACCAAAGTGCTCTTCCAGCACTCAACAACCAATCACTCTCCAGTGCCAGAAATACAGCTTAATGGTGTAACATTAGAAAATGTTGACTATTTCTGCTACCTTGGCAGCCACCTCTTCACAAAAGTCAACATTGACACTGAAATTCAACACCTCCTGAGCTCTGCAAGTGCAGCATTTTTCCAAATGAAGCAGGGTGTGTTTGAGGACTGAGACATCCGTAGAGATATCAAGGTGCTTGTTTATAAAGCTATTGTCCTCCCAACCCTGCTATACGCCTGCGAAACGTGGACTGTCTACAGACATCACATGCAACTCCTGGAACGATTCCATCAGCGCTGCCTCCGGAAAATCCTGCAAATCTTTTGGGAAGACAAGCGGACAAATGTCAGCATGCTGGAAGAAGCAAAGACCACCAACAGTGACATGATGGTCCTCCACCATCAACCCCGCTGGAATGGCCATGTTGTCCGGATGCCCAACCATCGTCTCCCAAAACAGTTGCTCTACTCCGAACTCAAGAACAAAAAATGGAATTTTGGAGGACAGGAAAAGAGATTTAAAGATGGCCTCAAGGCCAACCTTAAAAACTCTGGCATTAGACACAGAGAACTGGGAAGCCCTGGCCCTTGAGCGCTTCAGCTGGAGGTCAGCTGTGACCAGCAGTGCTGCAGAATTTGAAGAGGCAAGAATGGAGGGCAAAAGAGAGAAACATGCCAAGAGGAAGTCACATCAAGCCAACTGCAACTGGCACCGCATTCCACCTGAAAACCGATGCCCTCACTGTGGGAGAAGAGGGCATCGGTTCTACGTGGGATCACCTAAGTAAGTAAGTAAAGTATAAATAAAGTTTATTTATTATTATATTATTATATAAACCTCTCAACAGGAATACTGATAAATTCCAAGTACCCTTGATGCAAGAAAAGGGCAAATTCCCCAGGAAGAATGACCTATGCATGAGAAGTGGCTGAATGTGAGAAATAGCACCAAAGTGGACAAAAAGCTTCCTAAAGAAACCTACCCACCCTAAAACACAAACACTCACACAAACCCCTCCTAACGTATTCTTGGTGCTCTGACCACTAATAGCTGGTTTCTAGATGATCCCAAAGTTCAGCCCCATTTATCTAACTTGGCTCCCTTCCTAGGACTGCATTAGGGGTTGTCTCAAAGTGTCCGCATTGGGAAATTAATGAGGGAACCATTCTGTATCAAAGTGCATGCTTCTTTTCTCTCTCTTTCAACTGTTATTGCTACAATGAGATGAGTAATTAGAATATCCCCTAATCGGTGTAGCTTTCTTCACTGAAAAGCATCATGTCCTTACTAATTCAAGAAAATAAGTTAAAGAGAATGAGGATCTTCCTATCAAGAATAGCTGTTTGCCGGAAGAATTTAAGTATTGTATCAGCCAGGGTCGAATCTTGCATTATTTTGAAGGATCCTGCACCATCTTCTGCTAAAGTTACTTATACATTAAACGGACGTGCCCTAGATGGCTGAGAAATACACCAAAGCTGGTGAGATCAGCAGAAAGAAGGGATAAGAAATGTTCTAAATCTACTGGTATTGGATACTGAAGTTGGGTCTTCAGTGTCATTTACAGTCCAGTATCCTTTTTTAAAATGATTTTTATTAGTGTATTTTCCATGGAGAAGGGGGGGGGGATGAAAATGTAAAAAGGGGGGAGTGGAGGAAAAGGGGAAGTGAAAGAAAAAAAAGARAAAAAAAACTTAAAAATGGATTTACAGTTAAAAAGGAGAAAAGGAAAAAGAAAAAARKAAAAAAARTGTTGCACTCCAGAACAGAAACGATRCCCTCTGACTTTAAAACACACCACACGTTGAGTGAAAAAAACAATCCTTTTTATTGAAGCTGAGTAAAAKAGCCAGTMGAAAGAAATGCTTGTAAAAATAGGAAAATTTCAAAATGTAAAAGATCAGTAAAATGCAGTAATTCAAAGCAATGTCCACAAAAGATATAAAAACAAWCCAAGGCAGTATTTATCCAGACAGAAATCAACAGGTTGCCAAGATAATCCAGAAGGTGCTAGATCACAGCAAAATGCTAAAAATCTCTATAAGAACAAGACCCCTCRAACAGGATTTCCATGGCACATGAACATGATTTCCAAACGATGCCTGATCTAACAGGTTTTCCCTTGAAGCAAACCTTATATCCCAAAGCCCAAAAATTGCTTTCGTTTCCCCCCACTCTTGCCTCTTGTCTGATGAAGCCTTTCAGAGCAACATAAACATTGAGTTTGTTGTCAATCCTGGCTGAACTCCAGCCACCTATTTTTCAACTCCCTTTCTGGCTGCTCATTAAAATTTCCAGGTGTCAGATTGTTTTCCAAACTCAAATCTTGAGAGCTCACAGAAAGAGGGAGTAAACCATCATCCTTAAGCCCAGCAGGAATATTCTCATGAGAAACTGCCCTTTGCACTGGGGCCTCTCTGTCATTGTCTGCATGAAAACCATTGACCAAACCATCTCCATCTTACAATTCCGCCTCAGCACCATCATTTCCCTCATCATGTCACACATCAAGAGCATCATGATCCTGATCATCATGAAACATAAACACAGGCTGATTCCCAACAAAAAGGATCTATATAGAACTTTCTTTCTTCCTTATAGCAGGATAAGGAAAACAAATTTTTAAAAAAGAGTATGTCCATTTTGTTTGTTTTGAGTTTTACTATATTTCATTCCAGTAGATCTCTTCATTTTAAATTAGGATCTTTAACTTGTTTTCTTTCATCCAGTCATTAAACTAAGTCCAATCAGTCCTGTGTCTGCTTTTATCTTGGGTTTTGGTTATCATGAAGGTCAGTTCATCCATAATCATAATATCCAAACACTCTCTGCTTCATTCAGAAAAAAAGCTGCACTCTCAGAGCTCAGGCGGTTTTGAATTTTAGTGTCAATGTTAACTTTTGTGGAGAGGTGGCTGCCAAGGTAGCAGAAATGGTCAACATTTTCTAATGTGACACCATTAAGCTTTATTTATGGCATTAGAGAGGGATTGGCTGGTGACTGCTGGAAGAGCACTTTGCTTTTCTCAATGTTTAATGACAGGCCGAGCTTATCCTATGCTTCTGCAAAGGTGTTTAAAGTTGCTTGTAGGTCTTCTTCTGAATGCGCACAGACGACATTGTCATCAGCATACTGGAGTTCTATAACAGATGTTGTTGTATCCTTGGTTTTGGCTTTCAGTCTGCTGAGGTTAAACAGCGTGCCATCTGTTTGATAGATGATTTCCACTCCAGTGGGAAGCTTCCCATCAACAAGGTGAAGTATCATAGCGATGAAGATGGAAAATAAGGTTGGGGCAATAACACATCCCTGTTTGACACCTGATTCCACCTTAAATGGGTCACTTTGCCATTGCTGTCCAAGACTGTTGCCATCATGTCATCATGGAGGAGCTGCAGGATGTTATAACCTGCCTCCATCTCCCCAAAGGGGACTCGGGGGCGGCTAACATGAGGCTGAACCAAAATAGCAAAATTAGACTCAAGACAATAGAAAAAATACATCACAACAGAATACACAAAGTAACAAAATAAAATAATCAGTGTAAAATAACATAATAAAAATCAAACACAAAGGAAACCTTTGGTTCTTTCCCCACAGAAATACTCCAGGAAAAAAAGAAAAAAAACATAATGTGATTAATTGTGAAGATATTGTCTTAAATGTTTTTAATTATTTTAATGTATTTTAAATGTTTATTTTAATTGTACATTGTTTTATGGCATTGAATAGTTGCGTATGTGTAAGCTGCTTTGAGGTGTCCCCGGTGGCACACTGGGTTGGACTGCTGAGCTGCTAAACATGTTGACCAAATGGTCCAAAGTTCGAATCTGGGGGGTGAAGTGAACTTCTGCTGTCAACCCCAGCTTCTGCCAACCTAGAGGTTCGAAAACATACAAATATGAATAGATCAATAGGTACTACTCTGGCAGGAAGGTAATGGCGCTCCATGCAGTCATGCCGGCCACATGACCTTGGAGGTGTCTATGGACAACACCGGCTCTTCAGCTTAGAAATGGAGATGAGCACCAACCCCCAGAGTCGGAAACGACTGGACTTAATGTCAGGGAAAAACCTTTTTGCCCCTTCACCCCCGAAATAACGAGACAGACAACAATAGTATGGGTTCAAATTTTTGGGCAACTTTATTAACTGTTACCTATTTAACTTTACCTGAACTAAACTATGTGTCTAGGAACTTGGTGGCTAACCGAGGCAACGTCCTCGGCTATTTAATGTGTAATGTCTGCGTGCCCTGGATCCCCAACCGGGCAACTTGAATGTAAAAGTCCGGAGAGGCCTGTCCCAAATTATTGATATCAGCCTCTCTTATTTCTGTTCCAATTGATGTCCCCTCACCCATTTGCTGACCTTTAGGTGAGTGTTTGCTGTGCAATGACCCCCCACCCTTAAGGGGTGCCTTGCGTATACCTCAGTGTTCGTGTTATCCTGAGCTATTTATGCTAGCCTAATTAAGCCCAGACCACCCCAGCTAGCCCCTAATAACAGTATAGGGTAGGCGAAAAAACCCCCCAGAACATGAGGGGGAAAAAATTCCTACCCGGCTCCAACGGGCAACCGAATGCTATACTGTCAGTGGGCGGGTGTGGCGGGTCAAAAACTTCTTCAAAGTGAGGACGGAAGCTGGCTGTAACGCTCAGCCAGCCCCGCCCCCCCTCCAGGAGGTTCCATGGAACCTACCAATATTCTCTCCTTCGGGGGGAGGGGCAAATCGCTCTCCCCACCAACTTCGTTGGTGGGGAGAGTCCCTTGCCCCTTCACCCCCGAAATAACGAGACAGACAACAATAGTATGGGTTCAAATTTTTGGGCAACTTTATTAACTGTTACCTATTTAACTTTACCTGAACTAAACTATGTGTCTAGGAACTTGGTGGCTAACCGAGGCAACGTCCTCGGCTATTTAATGTGTAATGTCTGCGTGCCCTGGATCCCCAACCGGGCAACTTGAATGTAAAAGTCCGGAGAGGCCTGTCCCAAATTATTGATATCAGCCTCTCTTATTTCTGTTCCAATTGATGTCCCCTCACCCATTTGCTGACCTTTAGGTGAGTGTTTGCTGTGCAATGACCCCCCACCCTTAAGGGGTGCCTTGCGTATACCTCAGTGTTCGTGTTATCCTGAGCTATTTATGCCACGGATTGGGGGCAAATGTCTATTTCGCCCCCATCCCCCACCAAGCCCCTTAAGACCTCCTTAATCCCTAAATGCAGATCGGCCAAAAATTGGTGGTTGCCCAAATCCGATAAGTGTATACCATCAGAACGGTACAATTGTGTTTTGTCGTGAGTAATGTCCCTGTGCAGGATATAAGATCCTCTGCCTCGCGCCAATGCTGTGCGCATGGCCCTGTTCACACGCTTTCTGGCCTTCTCGAGTTTCTTGACGTCACCGCCTCCTGGCCACCGAAGGCGTGGAATGACGGCCGACCAAGCAATGTGAACCCGAGGCCATGCTTGCCAAATCCTAAGGATGTCGGCGCGGGCTTGCAAATACAAGGCCCTACCATTCAGTAGGCCTAGGTCGTTACCTCCCAAATGGAGCACTAGGACATCGGGAGGGGGCCCGCTCCTGTCCTGGAACAACAAGGGGATCAGGCCATCCCAATGAAGGCCCCGAACACCCTTCCACTCGACCGATGCGGTGGAAGCAAAACCCAGATGCTGGCCAAAGGGAGTGTTTCGGGCGTATCTCTCGGCCCAATGGACATAGCTGTGACCAAAAATAAGGATTCTCCGTCTATGCACCAGCCTGGCAGTATCTGAAACAACAATAACAATTTAAAACAGTACCGAGCGGACATAGCGCCTATAAGCCCCAGATTTCCACCTGCCAATCGTTTTGATGGCCTCAGTGTCATAACCTAAGTGTGCTGCCGAAGATGCGGCCCCTATACGAAAAGAGTGCGTGCCAAATTTTTTGTGACCCAACCCGAGCATCTGTAGTGCTCTATCTGTGATGGTCCAGAATTGATATTTAATAAGGGGGGTGGCATCCTGATGACAAAATAAATATCCCTGCCAATTAGCCCTGACTTGTACAAATTGTTCCATTGCCGCAACCGGGCATAAGTCGGGGTCGCTGCATCTGGTTAACTTAACCGCAGCACCCTTGGCTTGCTGGTCCATTTTAGACGACTTCACCAAGATTTGCAGGGCCTCATGAGACAATTTTAGGTCCGAAATCAACAGTGCACGCTGGGACGTATCTCCTTTAGACATAGCGAGTAACTCGCTTATCCTGAGAGCAGCAAAAAAAGGCCGTTAACGCTGCTGCATGAAACAGGATCTGTTCGTACTGAGACCGACAAACTTTGGGCCATGTTTCCTTCCAGCCCTTCAATATTGTGGGTGAAAGGGGTTCCCTCGCGTCTCGAGACGGTCCTTGCTGACGGGACCACCCCGCAATAATCTTATGTAGGCGAAAATCGCTTGTGGTGTCAGGGAGGCCCTGAGCCTTTGACCAGTAGGCTAGTGCCGACAGTTGCGACCTAATAGTATGCGGCGCTAAGCCCCTCCTGTGCGAATATACACAGAATTGTGCCAGATGGTCATAAGGAATTGGTGTTGTGTCTGGTAACTCATAGAACTGCCTAAACTCGTGAAACTCCCTAACCACCCTCGTGTATGTGTTCTGCGAACTGGGGGCTAAAGCTAGAGCCATACCCATCACCGTTTCGTCCCTCCAACCTGCCAAAGATGGCCTGGCATACGCTGTGGATGAACGTCGGCGTTGGGTGCGAGTTGTCTGAAGCGCTCCATCTGCATGCGAGATAGAGCGTCAGCCAAAGAATTGTCAATCCCCACTATGTGAAAAGCTCTAAACAAGATGTTAAAACGTAAACAGTGCAAGGTGAAATGCCTAACCGCCCCCATTACCCTTGCGGATTTTGATGTCAAAGTGTTGATAACCTGCACCGTGGCAAGGTTATCACACCAGAAGTGGACCGTAGAATTAGCAAAGGCATCAACCCAAACTGTGACTGCTACCAGAATGGGGAAAAATTCCAAAAATGTCAAGTCGGACGTAATCCCATGACTATGCCAACTGTCCGGCCAGACTTCAGCACACCAATGGTCCTGGAAAAACACCCCAAACCCCACGGCACCAGATGCATCCGATGCCACCTGAAGCGCATCCCGAAGCTTCAGTTCTTGTCTCCAGAATGACACCCCGTTAAAACCTGCCAAAAATTCTAGCCAAATGGCCAAGTCCTCCCTAACTGAACGCGTAACCCTTATCCTGTGATGGGCCAACCTAACGCCTGCTATGGCATCGCATAGCCTCCTCAAAAATGCCCTCCCGGGGGCTACAACTTTACACGCAAAATTTAAGTGGCCAATCAACTCTTGAAATTCCCTTAAGGTGGCCTTTCTACGGTACAAGAATTGTTGTACCCTGTCCGTCAGGTCTGCCACCTTCTTGGGTGGCAACCTGGAATATTGATTAATCGTATCCAATTCAATCCCCAAAAAGATCAAAACGGGTGACGGACCCTCGGTTTTTTCTTCCGCTAAGGGTACGCCTAATTGATGGGCTAGCCATTGAAATGATTTGAGCAAAGCTAAACACTGACCCGATCCGGGGCTCCCTACAAAGAGGAAATCATCCAGATAATGTGCGACCCCCGACAAGCCTGATTCAGCCCTAATCGCCCATTCAAGAAAGGTACTAAATCTCTCAAAGGCCGCACAAGATATGGAACAACCCATAGGAAGAGCCCTGTCCATATAGAAAAAACCCTGAAACTGGAACCCCAGCAGCTCAAAATCCGCTGGATGGACGGGCAACAAGCGAAATGCAGACTTAATGTCGCATTTCGCCAGTTCAGCCCCAAGCCCAAACCGACGAACCAGCCGCACTGCCGAATCAAAAGAGGTATATTGGACTGAGCATTGGTCATCGGGGATTGCGTCATTCACCGACCTGCCCTTGGGATAGGACAGGTGATGGATGAGGCGATACTCTCCTTCCGCCTTTTTTGGTACTATCCCCAGGGGCGACACGCGCAGCACTGGAGTTGGCGGGGTCTTAAATGGGCCCAGGACTCGTCCCTCCGATACTTCCTTATCAATTTTGCTTTGCACTATGGCCTCCATGCCCATGACAGATTTTAGATTTGGGGCTAATGATGGAGAACGCGGGCCTTCCGCAGGTATACGGAATCCCTCTGAGAAACCTTTTAAAAGATATTCAGCCACCACTTTATCAGGGTAGCGCTCTAACCAGCCCCTCAGCTGATCCAGCCTAATTGGGCTGGGGCCCTTTTGGAATGGTGGATTGTCCTGCGGGCTTCTTGGCAAATTGGTTGTCCCTAAAATTGAGTCTAGCAGCTTTTCCCTTGGGGCAGTTTCTAGTTGGGTGTGTGCCAAAACAAATTGAGCACGCGTGCGGGAATCGGCAGTTCTTCCGTGAACAGGCTCCCTGGGCCACATACTCCCAGCACAAAGCTTTTTGCCGCTGAGCCTGTAGCTGGGGAGCCCCTTGCCGAAAGGGCTGCCCGGTCTTGTTTTGGATAGTATGCCCGCTATCCCCCTTCAATGCCATGGGTGCACGAGATGGGTTCATAACCTCCATCCAAATTTGCTCATCGATCAGGTCCCAGCGTTTCTCTGGATGACACGCAGCTTCTGACCTAAAACGCTTGTCATACTCCAGCCAGGCGTTTGCAGGGCCACTTACGTAAGCCTTGTAAACGATATTCTGGTAATGCCACAAGGACGTGGCCCTATCCGGGGATGCATCTGAAAGGAGGTTTGCATAAATTGTATAGCAAGGGAGCCAATTCTCCCAATTCTGCTCAACCCTGCGCTTTTTAATCTTTTCCTTATTCTCCTCATCCAATTCATCCTTCTCCTTTTTATCAAGTTCTCTAAAGTGAAGGGAGAATAAGTCAATGTATTCATTCCTCAAAATCCTTTCTATAGTCTTGGCCGCTAGGTGAGACCCCAGGGCAGTCGCACTGACCGTCGGGGTCGCCTGAGGTGGCCATTTGGCCGTACCCCAAAACTTGCTGGCGTCACCCACTCAGGCCGATTCCAAGGTTACGATGGCCTGAGTAGCTGGTAACGGAGTAGAAGCTGCTGCATTGCCTAACATGCCGGACCCTGACCCACTAACTAACTGACCTGGAACCTCAACATGTGGCTGGCCCTGGTCCCAGGGCCATGTGAGTGTGGTGGAATTACCTTTTGAGGTGCTCGGCCCATCGTCCACCTGCCTCGGCCGAGGGTCAGTCGGATTGGATAGTGGCATCGTCAACTGGGTTGGCCTCGGCTCAGCCGCTGCTGAGGAGGACGGTGCCAGCGGCTGATTGGGCCTGACCTCCGCTGTTACAGTGGACTCTACCGACGCCGGTTGGATGGAACTCGCCACCGAAGATCCCTGGAGTAGTATCGCTGGGCTAGCGGCGGTCGAAGTGGTCGAAGGCCCGGATTCCACCGACCCCTGTCGATCAGCCGACTGCTCGGGGGACTCTGTGACAGCAGGTTGATCAGGAGGCCGCGGCGCCTCCAGGGCCCGTGCACTCGTCACCGACTCTAAATTAGAGACACGGGACAGCAAAGATTTAAATAACTGTTTCTTGCTAAGCCGTCGAGAATGTCGCGCTCCCGCCTCCCCCGATGCCACCCCCTTAGCCCTTTCCACTTTATCAATGCGTTGGAGGAGGGCATGAAGGTCCTCGATGGTCACGTCATCATCGTCCGATGATAACCCCTCCGTAGGTAGGGGGCGCTTGTGGGCCGTCTTCTCGGCGGGACCCTTTCCTTTGGGGCCGCCCTTGTTCTTCCGTGAAGGCATCCTAAAAGGAAAAAAGGTGGGGGGTGGGAGGGAGGGGGGGAGAACAAGCGTATGAGCATTCAGCTGCATCCAGCGCTGCAAATAAGGGATGGTCCCCACAGACATTAAGCCATAAAATAACTCTATAAATATATATTGGAACCTGTAAATGGCTTTATTATTCTTGTCTTAAATATCTGTATAAATAGAACTATATATATTATTTCTATTCCCCCTTTCCTCTTCCTCTTTTTATTATTATTATTATTACAATGGATATATATATACATATATAAATATCGCTGTACTATTGTATTATTAATATTTTGTTTAATCCATAATTATATATATATATATATATAATTCATTTATTATTATTATTAATATTGTGTTAATTTTAATATTATTATTATTATTATTACTACTACAGTAAGGTGACTGGCATTTATGAGCCTGCGGCCAGCGATTACAAGGCACCTAAATGCGTGTGTGGGCTGCTGGCCCCAAGGCCCGGTCTCCCTGTAGACACCACCTATCCCCCCATGCCAAATGGTGGCCACCATAAAATGGCGGCCGCAGGGAAAATGGCGGCCGCCTCCCACGCTGGCGGCCGCTGGTAAAAACGGCCGTCAGCCCCAACCTTGAGACTCCAGCTCTGCCCCAGAAGGCCGGAGCCGAGGGCGCAAGACAGCACAGCCCACATGCGCCGCCCGCGGGCCGAAGCGCCGCCGCCGCCGCCGCGTGCACTCCGCAGGGCGGTCGAAACAGAAAATGGCGGCTGCCGCTGGACCGCGCTGCCAGCTCATTTCGGCAGCGCGATCCCCGGCTCCCCAACCGATGAACAGATGAAGCACCCGCTGCCGGCGACCAACACAGCGGCCTCCGCAGGCACCCTCCAGCGGCGCCGCCGCCCAGCGCCGCAGGCCTCCGAAGCCAGGCCGCTCCATGGCGGCACAGGCCGCAGCCAACGGCGGCAAGGCCATGGTCAGAATTGACGCCTCGGCTAGGCCGCGGCCCCCCGCCAGGACTTACATGGGGAGGGGGAAGGCTTTCCACCTCCCCTACCCACCCCAATACCGACCTGAGCAGGGTAAGACAATAAAATCTTGCCACGAAGAAGTCCAGTCCGCGTCCGTCGTCCTCAAAAACTTCTTCAAAGTGAGGACGGAGGCTGGCTGTAACGCTCAGCCAGCCCCGCCCCCCCTCCAGGAGGTTCCATGGAACCTACCAATATTCTCTCCTTCGGGGGGAGGGGCAAATCGCTCTCCCCACCAACTTCGTTGGTGGGGAGAGTCCCATCTTTACTTAAGCTGCCTTGAGTCCCCTCCGGGGTGGAGAAAGGCGAGGTTGAAATGTCATAAATACTTAAATAATAACCTTGTTTCTTGAAGGTGTTTTGTTAAACTAATGAAGAAATAACATATAATAGAAAATTCTTTGTGTTCCATCTCTTCTTGGACACTCTGTGGTTCACCTTCTTCAGTGCAAGACTACAGTACTGTTTGAAGACCTGGTGGAAGTGTAGGATTGAAAGTCTCACTATCTTGCACATGCATACATGCATGTACATACCTTCAGATGACGCGAGCTCCTTGGCATGCAAGTACGGGGAAAGTAATGGCCTTTTGCAGCATGAATAATGAAAACATTTCAAAGCTTTTTCATAATGAAACATTTACATCTCTAACAAAGAGTCTGAAATGCATTATCGCAAAAGGTGAGAAAACAGTCGAGCAGAATGTACATTTATTTAAGAGCCCAGATTGCTGGAAAACAGGACGTTAAAGGGTTAAGTACTCAAATATCTAATACTCTCTGGGTCTGCCAATGCATCTCCTTTCCTAAATAAACAATGGTGCATATTGCTGTTTATTAAGTAATCATTTGTTTTTTGCAAAAAAAAAAAAAAAAAGGAGACAAGGAGGGCCCGATTCTGGCAGCCCAAGAACAAGCCATTGGAACCAATGCCATCAAAGGCAGAATTGAAAAGCCGACAACAGATCCCAAATGTAGACTCTGCAAGGAAGCAGATGAAACCATAGATCACATCCTCATCTGTTGCAAGAAGATCGCGCAGACAGAGTACAAGCAGAGGCATAACATTGTTACTCAGATGATCCATTGGAACTTGTGCCACAAATACCATCTGCCTGCGACAAAGAACTGGTGGGATCACAAGCCGGAAAAAGTTACAGAGAATGAACACGCCAAACTCCTCTGAGACTTCCAAATTAATTCAGACAGAGTTCTGGAGCACAGTACTCCTGACCTCACAATCGTGTTAAAAAACAAAGTATGGATCGTCGAAGTTGCAATCCCAGGTGAACAGCAGGATTGAAGCGAAATAACAGGAAAAGCTGACACGATATGAGGATTTAAAGATCGAACTGCAAAGACTCTGGCACAAGCCAGTCAAGGTGGTCCCAGTGGTGATTGGCACACTGGGTGCAGTGCCTAAAGACCTTGGCCTGCACTTAAACACAATTGGTGCTGAGAAAATTACCATCTGCCAGCTGCAGAAGGCCACCTTACTGGGATCTGCACACATTATTCACCGATAAAGCATATAGTCCTAGACACTTGGAAAGTGTCCGACGTGTGATTCAATTCAACACCCAGAAGAGTGTCTGCTATGGACTCATCCTGTTGTGTTTCAAATAATAATAATAATATAATTATAATAATAATAGTTTATTTATACCCCGCCTCCATGTTCCCAAGGGGACTCGGGCTGGCTAACATGAAGCCAATCCCAACAGTTACGATAAAACAAAAGAATTCAACAAGAATATTAAACATTAAGATCCAGATGAAAATAGAATACTTTCTGTTGAGCATCACAGATGAAGACATTACTTTAGATTCAAATCAAGACACTCTCTTTACCTATCTGATGGTAGCTGCTAGAATTGTCTATGCCAAGAAATGGAAAATGAAAGAACTGAGTACGATAGAAGATTGGTTGGATAAAATACAGGATATAAAAGATATGGATAAATTAACCTTCTATTTGAAAGACTATACTGGTACACCTATAAGACAAACGGATTGGAAACAGTTTGAAGACTTCATGAAGAATTTTAAATAATATAAATGACCTAAACTTATCTTCTTAGAGATATAATGAAGGATAACACAAAGTAACAAAGAATACTTCTTTTTTAAAAATTTAAATTGAGGAAAATATATCGCAACGGATGAGCCGCAATAAGGAAGAAGAAGCAAATAAAAAGAAGCAGAAGGCGAAGACGTCAAGAAGAAGATTGGGAAGTCAACCTTCCCCTCCTTTTTCTTTTTGTTTTTTACCTTAAATTCCTAGTTTTTTCCATCCACCCTCTTTCCTTCCCTTTACCCCCCTTTGGGTTTTTTTTGTTTCCCCCCCCTCTTTCCTACCCTTTTTACCCTACCCAAAATTTACCTCGACCTTTCCTGATTTTTCCACCCTCCTCCTTTTTTTCGCCCCCTTTTATGTAATAAATTTGAAAAACCACAGTAAAAACTATTTTTTTAAAAAAGAATACAACATAAAATCATAAATTAATACAACAAATAGAATACAATAAAATCAAAGAAAATAATATAAAATAAACACAAGGTAAAAAGTAAATAACAAAACAATAACCAAGTGGGCAGGGCCAAATACAACAAATAGGACTTTTAAAACCATGGGTGAGATGGATGAGTAGGGTGCTAAAGCTGGTGGGAGGTTCAGATGGGATGAACAATGGGATTTAGTTCACTGAAGGGTGATATAAAGTACATCAAAAGACATGATGTGCTGAGCTGGTCAAGGTGAGAGACTTGTTGTTTAATCCTCGAAGGCACATACTGAATGAATTTTGACAAGTGCATGGATTTCAAAATCTTTCTCATAACAGCAAGAAAACTGCTACATTTAAGAAGAACATTAGTGACAAATTACATTCCTGCTTAACAGGTGACTTTAAGATTGGACATCTGGCTTTTCTATAGGATACCAATGCAAAGAGTGTTTCCAAATTCACCCTGAAAAACCTGAGAACCTGGAAGAGTTGGCTACAAAAGCGTGTGCTATGAACTATGCCCCTGTGTCATGCTAACTCTGTGACTCTGCATCTTTTTTTGAACCAACTGCAAATGACCCGACAGATATGTGAGTGTAAAGGCAAGGAAACGATAGTACGCTGAAAATTACACATTAGCCTTCTCCATTATATGGAAGCTGTCATCTTTCAGCACCAGGCGATCCATTAATCATCCACAATCAGTCATCCAATTCTTTCGTTGAGACATTAAACCGTGGTCCTTTCTGTCTGTCACCGTTGATCATCCAGGTGGAAATTAGAAATCTCGGAGCATTTCTCTAAAAGAACAAGGGCCAACCTGGTGACCCTCAATCATTAAAGAAAGGGAAAGAAAAAAAAAAAGACAGGGAGAAAGAGAGCGAGAGAGACCCAAAAGAGAGAGAATGACTCCTATTGTCCACAGCTGTGTGGAAAGTGATTGCTAATGGCATCAAATCTAATTGGGTTATTTTTTTTCCCCCAAGCAATTTTAAAAGGGTGCCATTTAAAATTATAATCTATGATCATTTGTATTTGCAAATGTTGGACAGATCATCTCCCCCCACCAAAAAAAATTACATATACAGTAGAGTCTTGCTTATCCAACCTTCTCTCATCTAACATTCTGTATTATCCGACAC